CCGGGGCACGGCCCGCCGGTTCCCCTTGGGCCGCCCGCCGCCCTCCGCCTCGGGCCCGCGGGGCTCGGGGGGCCCCTCCAGAGCCTTCACCCCCTCGGCCGTCAGCAGATGCTGCGCGGGCGGGGGCAGCAGATGGGCCGGGGGCGCGCAGAGCTGGTGCTCGCCCCCGCCGTAGCCGCCCAGAGCCGCGGGCAGCCCGGGGTGCGCGGGCACCTGCAGCGCGCCCCCGCCTTGCCCGGGGGGCAGCTCCATCCAGCTCGCTCCGGCGTGGAGCTCCCACCAATTGACGCCGCCGCTCTCCTCGCCGGGGGCTCCGGGGTGCGGGGGCCGGAACCAGGGCTCGTAGGGGTGCGCCATGTCCGGGGCGGCCGGCAGCAGCTTGGCGTAGGCTCCGGTGGGGCCGTCGGGGGACAGCTCTAACCTCGGCGGGCCATGGGGCTCGTAGGCGCCGGGAGCGGCGAAAGCGGCGTCGTCGGGGCCCGGCAGCGGCAGCTCCGGCGGCGGCAGCGGCGAGGCGAACTCGGGGGCCCCGGGAGCGGCGGGGCCGTGCGGTTGGAAGGGCTGCAGCGGCTGCAGGTCCAGGTGGGTCGGGGAGGAGCGGGGCGCGTCCGAGGGCTGCGATCCCAGGGAGCCGCAAACCGCCGTCAGCATCGCGGGGCGGCGGCGCGCACAGACCTGCGGGGCCCGGCGGGGCGGGCGGGGAGGGGACAAGAGCTGTCAGAGGAGGGGGGACACGGCCCTGTGCCCCCAGCCCCGAAATCCCCGCTCCCGACCCCGTGCCCCCGGCCCCGAGCCCCCCGGCCCGAAACACCCGGTCCCGGTCCTGGTCCCGGTCCTGGCCCCGGTACCGGCGCTCTGGGGGTCACCGAGCCCCCGCCAAAGGGTTTCCGCTGCTCTGCGACAGCGCTGTCACACCGGGATGGTGGCACCGTCCCCCCGTGCCAGCCCCCGGTGCCCGAAGGGGTCGGTGCCTGATCCCAGACTCCGAGGACAGCGCCAGCAGCTGCCGTGTCACCTCCCTGCCCGGTGTCCCCGAGGGGGCACAGGTGGCACCCCGAGCTCCCGCCCCACCCACGGGGGGACGCGGCACCCACGGGACCAACCCGGCTCCGCCGCATCCCRGCCGGGCCGGGAGCCCTCCCCCGCYGCCGGGAGCCCCGGGGCCGTTCCGGGGGCGCTGCGCCCCCCGGGCCGGTTGGCAGCGGGCGGAGGCAGCGGGGCCGCGGGCAGCGCTTTGAAGCCGAGCTCGGGGCGGTCTCCGCCCGCGGCCGCGGCCCCCGGGGCACCGGCGGCTCCCGCAGACCCCCGGGCACCCGCGGGCTCCCGGCTGGGCGGCCGTGACTCAGCGGGAGCTGCGCAAACCCCACGGGGGACGGGCCCCACCCCGGTGTCGAAATCCACCTGCCGCCACCGCTCCCGCCCCCCGACTTCCCACCGGCGCCGCGCTGGGGGCGGCCGAGACCCCCCCGTGTCCCCCTCCCCTTCCCCGCGCTTCCCCAGCGCCCCCAGACCCGCAGGGACAGGGACAGGGACAGGGACAGGGACAGGGACAGGGACAGGGACAGGGACAGGGACAGGGACAGACCCTCGGGGACACACTCGGGTGGCGCTGACGGATTTGGGGTGAGGGATCCCCTGAACAGAGGGGCCGGACCCCCAGAGCCCCCCGATCGCCAGCCCCCGATTCCAGGGCAGGGACCCCCGCTCTGCCTGGGGACACCGCTGTCCCTGCCGGGGTCACCCGGGAAGGCAGGGGGACCCCAGAGAGCAGCGTGAGAGTTTGGGGGTCCCCAAAATCCCCCCGACGGGACCCCTCGGGTTACCGACACTGCAGGGGGAGCCCCCGGGGGTTCAGCCGAGCACATTTTGGGGTCCCGCTCCCCGATGGGAGCTCGGCTCTGCCCACCCCGACAGTCTTGGGGACTGTCCCCGGCTCCTGGGGACACGGGTGGGGTGGCAGAGGGTGGCACTGGGGGTGTCCATGGCTCAGCGGGGTCCTGARCCCCCCCAGCCCCCGTGGGCTCGGATTTGGGGTCAGACCCTCAACCCCCACGGTCACAGCCCCTCACGGGGCTTTGGGGTGGCAGCTGGCGCGGTTTGGGGACTGAGGGGACACGGAAGGGACAATCCCAGYCCCCCCGACCCCTCAGAGCCCGCCAGGGCTGTCCCGGCACAGCCCCCTCCCCTCGGCCCGGGGGTCCCAGCGACCCCCCCGGGGCGGCTCCGCCATCCCAACCCCAAACCCGGGGCAGAAGGGCCGTGCTGGGGGCAGCGCCGGCCGAACCCCCCTCCCCGGSCCCGCCTCAGCCCGGCTCGGAGCCTCCCCGGACATTTTTCCATCCGGGAATGATGACAAAAATCCCCAGGGGCCCCCAGCGTCCTCCCTCCCTCCCTGGCGGGGCTCCGCGACGCGTTGGCCATTTCACCGCAGGGAAACTGAGGCAGCGGCGGCTGAAGCGTCCCGTGAGTCACGGCCCGGGCTGGGCAGAGGCGGCCCCGGCTCCCAACGCTGCCGGTGCCTCGCCCCGCGGCGGGGCCGGGCGGGCGCTGCTGACCCCGCACCGGGAGCCCCGACGGGGAACGGGGGAGCGGCGGGACCGGGCCCGGGGGCG